GCGACCCGAGGCAAAGCAGTGCAACGCAACGCAAGGTCAAGCAATGCAGAACCATGCGAATCGACGCAAAGCAACGCATTGCAAAGAAGGAGCCAGAGAACTTCCGGGGAACCGCCGGGAGACCACCAAGGACACCGGGGAATCGCCATGGAGCCTCCGAAGACGCGTCGGGAATAACATCCATCGCGCCAACCCTGGCAAACGGAGCAGGTATTCCGTAGGCGCAGCCTACCCGTGGAAAGGTAACCGCCCTCCGTCCTTGGATAGGGGCATCCAAAGGAGTGCCAAGCGAGATGGTCGTTTTGACGAAGAGCCGCCCCTTCCAGGAAGTTGCCGTGCACGTCTACTAGAGCCACCGCGCGCGCGTCTATATTCCAACTAGCTTGGGCGCGATGGGATAGCACGGAAGAGGGACCAATGCCATGGTAAACCAGAGCTGCAGGGTATATGTGGCGCCTAACTGTCACATTGAGGCTACTTCCGCAGAAACGTTGGAGATCCCAGAACTCGTGAAACAGCCAGGAGTGCCTCAGGTCGCGAACTGGTTTGCATGATCGAAAGGTATTCTTGGCGCGCTCTATTCAATTTTCGGATGGGAGGGGGCACGGAGGAATACGTAGCACCCCGCAGTTGCGGATGAGAGGGGGCGGCGAGGACGTCGGCAGTCTGCGAGGCTCTGAAGAAGCCCGCCGCAGGCGCCAAACTTTTACAAGTTATGCAGTGAGCCCACCGCAGGCGCCTTTTTTTGTTAAGGCAAAGTGGGTGGGTCGCAGGGTGGGTCGTGTATGGGATGCGGGTGGGTCGCAGGTGGGTCGCAGGCCGGATCGTGGGTGGGACGCGGGTGGGTCGCGGGTGGGTCGCGGGTGGGTCGCGGGTGGGTCGCGGGGTGGGTCGCGGGTGGGTCGCGGGCGGGTCGCGGGTGGGTCGCGGGTGGGTCGCGGGTGGGTCGCGGGTGGGTCGCGGGTGGGTCGCGGGGTGGGTCGCGGGCCGGGTCGCAGGTGGGACGACGACAATAACAACGACAATATCCTTAAAACAACCACAACCACAACCACAACAGCGACCACCACCACCACCACCAACAAAAGCAACAGCAACAATAATATTAGTACCACCAACACCAATAACAACAACATTGATAACATCAACATCAACAGCAGTGCATCAGCAACAAAATCAGCAACACTAGTAACAACAACAGCAGCAACAACAACCAACAGCAGCAGTAACAACACCAACAGCAACGGCAGCAACAGCACCAACCAACAACAACAACACCACCGACAAAAACAACAACGCTTATTTTAAGACTGTCCGCTCTCACCTGTTTGCGTGCCATTCGAAACGGATATCTCAAACCCTCGGTACCCGTTCTCCTCGTTTTTGATCGCACACCCCTGGAGGTATATCGTCTTACCTGTCGTGTGTAATTGGTGCAGCCCTTGAAACAAGGGGAAAAGAGGACGGATGGAATGGGGAGGCAAAACGTGGAGGGAGGGAGGGAGGAGGAAGAGGGGAAGAGGAAGAGGAGGAACACACTGGCAGGGAGGGAGGGAGGAGGAAGATGAGGAATATACTGGCATGGTGGAAACGAGCCTTGAGAGAAAGCGGCTCCTGGATCCCAGGGCTTCCCCCAGGACCGATTTTTTATCCTGGGTCGCTCTTCGGCGGTCTCGGGGTTTGCGGAGGCACAGGGAGGCCACACGCGGCGACATACCTCCGGACCTGCTCCCGTCTGGACCGCTGTTTCCTGCATGGCAGAGCAGGAGGAGGAGGAGGAGGAGGAGGAGGAGGAGGAGGAGGGGGAGGAGGAGGGGAGGAGAGGAGGAGGAGGAGGAGGAGAGGAGGAGGGAGGAGGTGGAGGAGGGGGAGGAGGAGGAGGAGGGGGAGGAGGAGGAGGAGGAGGGGGAGGAGGAGGGGGAGGAGCAGGGGCGGAGAGTGAGACGCAGCCAGGGCCGGGACAACATCGCGATCTGGGACAGGTCGGGATGCCAGAGATGCCGCGGCTCCAGGTGACGCACCGGGCGCCGCGGCCGCTCGGGAGCGCGCCGGGCTGCTCCGAGGGCGGCCTTCGGCTGCAGGCAGGAGAGTGGCCCTGGGCGTGTAGGTCGGGCGTGTCCCCCTCTGGGTGGATTGTGGACGAACATAGCAAATAGTCCAAACAAGTAGCCCCCTCCCCCCAAACAAAACAACAACGGTCGACATATCGTCCCCAGACTACTTCTTTGACTATTTTGGACTATTTCTTTGACAAGTAGTCCAAAAAAGTAGCTCCACCCCAAAGAAAAACACAAACGGTCGACAAAATCGTCCCCAGACTATTGCTGGGACTATCTCTGGATATTCCTCCATGTCGAGGGACAGGCCCGACGGAGCCCTGGGCGAGCGTGACCTCTGGTGGATTGTGGAAGAACATAACGACTAGTCCGAAAGTAGCCCCCCCCCCAAAAAAAACAAAAACGGTCGAGATATCGTCCCCAGGCTATTCGTTGGACTATCTTTGAATATTCCTCCATGTCGAGGGACGGGCCCGACGGAGCCCTGGGCGAGCGTGACCTCTGGTGCGCGCCTTTCGTGGGCCGTGGGGACGCCGAGCCCAGGCGCACGGGACGCTGCGGTCGCCTCGCGTGCAGTGCTCTGGGGGCCCCCGGCGTGTCCGCACCAGACGGTCACCTTAGCGAGGAGGAGGAGGAGGAGGAGGAGGAGGAGGAGGAGGAGGAGGAGGAGGAGGAGGAGGAGGAGGAGGAGGAGGAGGAGGCGGAGGAGGAGGAGGAGGAGGGCCACTCTTACACGACGTTCCTTTCTAATCTTGCTCACTTCGAATTGTGCTCCTCTCTAGCTGTTCCTGGCACCCCAGTGGCTAGGAAGAGGCCCAGGATAGAGCAATCCGAAACGAAAGGACCTCGGCCCTCCAAAAGCCAAGGAGACCTTCCGAAGAATCGGAAATGAACCACGTGTGCGCGGAGCCGAGGCCTAGGGCGCCCTGGAACGCTCTGCGCCTCCTGGCCCGAAGGTCCCGCCCGAAGATTTGAACGCCCGACATGGGTACGGAAAAAATGGGTACAATTCCCAACAACAAATGCTGCTCAACAGCGGCCGCTGTTGGGCAGGCGGCCTTCTGTCTCAAATGGATACAATCCGCGGCGACGCCGACAGCGAGTCCTGTTCAGAATGAACAGAAACTGCTGTTGGACATTATTGTGCCCGTTCTTTCCGTACCCGTGTCGGTCGTCCCGAGAAGACCTCCCGCCCCCTGCGGGCTCGGCTGGGCCCGCGGCCGTCGGGGAGCCGGAGGAGCCGTCCTCCGCCGGCCAGCCCCGCAGCTGCGGCGGCTCGCGGTGCTCCTCGCGGTGCTCCTCGCGTCGCGAGGGTCGGTCGAGGACGGAGGCTCGAGGTCGATGGAGCATCGAGGGGATCGATCCTCCTCCTCCTTCTGTTCCTCCTCCTCCTCCTCCTCCTCCTCCTCCTCCTCCTCCTGTTCCTCCTCCTCCTCCTCCTCCATGCCTCCTCCTCCTCCTCCTCCTCCATGCCTCCTCCTCCTCCTTGATCGAGGATTCGAGGCTTGAGCCAGGATCGCTTCGACCGAGGATCGAGGACTCGAGGTTGGGTCGAGAAGGGGGGGCTTCGATCGAGGGATCTAAGGTTCGAGGATCGAGGTCGCTTGAGCATCGAGAGGGATCGATCGAGGGTCGGAGATTCGGGTATCGATCGAGGATCGAGGCTTCGAGGTTCGATCGAGGAGGGGGGTTCGGTTGAGGATCCAGGTTCGATATCTTAGAATCGTGTTCGGTTTACTTTCTGGCTGGCGGGGGCCCGGGGGCCTCTGGACGCCTCCGGCTAGGGCCTCCTCTTGAGACCTCGAGAGGCCTCATGGTGCCTTTGTCGTCGCGGTCGTCGTGGACGTCCTCCTCCTCCTCCCTTCCTGGGGTGAGGACAGGGGTCTCTGCCTGCTCCCAATCCTTGCGCTCCTCCTCCTCCTTCTCCTTCTCCTCCTCCTCCTCCTCTTCCTCCTCCTCCTCCTCCTCCTCCTCCTCCTCCTCCTCTCAGGAAGCCCATTTTGCGCAAAGCCGAACGTTATCGCCCAGGGACAGTCTAGGGTAGGGTAAGCGTTCAGCACCGCCATTATTCGAGCTTCGAACCTCTGGGGCTTTGGCCTGTAGAATCCTGCTGAATCCTTCTCCTCAGCTTACTCCTCGTCCTCTTCCCTCCGTTCCCCACTGCTATTTTACACATCTCTTCCTCAAGTTCCCCAGGTAGTGCTTGCCAGAAGAGGCTTCTGCTTTGCTTATGGAATGTCAGAACAGCGTTGCAGTATTTTCGGCTGGTAGAATTAGGTCGGGCATGTCCTCCTACAGGCGGATTGTTGGAAGAACAGTGGGAAATAATCTAACCATGCCAACTCATAGTCAACAGTAATAAAAAAATCGTCCCCGACAATTTTTTGACTACTTTTGAATATTGCTCCCGAAGAGGGACATGCCCGACTCAATGGTAGGCGCCCGTGGCCGCCTCGGGCCGCCTTGGTGCGCTAGCTGCGCTTATGTTGCTCCCATCGTACTTAAAAGGACAACATCCCAGAACTCATTTCGGGCACCCAGAAAAAAGTATCGAAACAGTGTCGAGCGAGTATCGCCTCCCAGGGCCCGACACGTGAAAACCCTCCGATTTCGGTACTTTCTAGGTGCCCGGAATTCTTTCTGGTGATCAAGGCTAGAGTAGGTTGGAACATCATCACATGAACATTTTTCTGGGTGGACCAGATCCCCTTAGCAGAACACCTCTTAATGAAAACGACCCGGGAGACCGGATTTCCAGCGGGCGCAGGCCCGCAAACAATTCCTTTCGCAACGCCCTCCAGAGAGCCCCAAAAAGGCAAATCGCTAATGGACTTGGTAATGTGGAGGATTCCATCAACCGCCGATCCTCCCAAAAGAAGAATAGATACTACCACCCCTGAAGGCCAGTGTGTACCGTTCATTGTGCTTCGATGCCATTATACACGACGCAATTTTCGTTGAAATCCCATGGGTGCTCTTTCAGGGGCGCCTTCGGATGAGCCTCGAGTGCAGTGCTCGCTTCTCCACAGAACAAATGATGGCACCTGATTCCCGAAGTCCTCGCGCGCGCTCTGAACATCAGCGCGCCTGGTTAGAACCGGCCGCTTCAGCGCAGGGCCGTCTGCGCTGCTCGCCTGGCAAGTCCGAGAAGAAGTGCTCGCACTGCTGCTGCCTCGACGTCGGCGCTGCCGCAGGCGCCGCTCCGCGCGCCTCCAGCGCCAAGCTGCTTCGCGCTCGAGGCTGGCTCAGCCTCCCCCGGAGATCGGAGATTTCGAGAGCAAGTCGTTGATTGTGTTGCGCGTCCCATCGTCTGCCAGGTCCTCGTCACCGCCGCCGCCTCCAGGCCGCGCCTCAAGCACAGGATTCGGCGGCAAGAAGAGCTGCGGCGGCAGCCGGTAGTCCACGACGAAGTCCCGCATGGGCGTTTCGTTGCCTTTCCTGGCTTCGGTTATGGCGTACAGCGCGCGCTCCTCCACAGCCAAGCTCGGGTCCTTCAACCTTTTGTCCCTGAATATTCGGTCGAAGAGGTCTTGAAAAGAGGTTTCGCCCTGCTGATATATGCCTGCCTGGGCCTCATACGAACGGCGAAGCTCCTCGTCTATCAGCATTGTGTACGCCCTGCCGATCTCCTGGAAGCGCTCCAGCGCGTCGGGCGCGTCGTACACGTCGGGGTGGCACTTCTTCGAGAGCTCGAAATAAGCCCTCTTGACGTCCGCCTGTGTTGCGGAGGAGGAGGACGACGACGAGGGATGAGGAGAAGCAATAGGGGAACAACAAATGGCATAAACATAAAAACTCGGAGGTCCGCGCGGATTTCTCGGATCGGCGCTGGGGCCCCCCGGCGGCGCCTCGGGCGCCGCCCCTGGCGCGCTCCGCGCGCCAGGGAGGGGGGTCCAGCGCCGATCCGAGAAATCCGCGCGGACCTCCGAGTTTTTATGTTTACGTCACTTTTTGTTCCCCTAGTGTTGCAGAGGAGGAGGAGGAGGAGGAGGAGGAGGAGGAGGAGGACGACGACGAGGGATGAGGAGCAGCAAGACGAGGGGGTGGACGAGGCGGCGATGCTCGCCTGTGTCGCGGAGGCCTCCAGGCCCAGCACCTCGAACGGCGAGCGCGACGCCCCGGCGCACGACCGCCTCCAGGGCCTCGGCCCGGCAGCCCTGCCCACGGCCCGAGCCAGCACGGGCGGGGGCTGCAGTGGGTGGTTCAACGACGGGGGCCTGGGGGATGGGGCCCAGAGGGCAGGAGGGGATCCAAGGGTTAAGTCGGGCCTGTCCCTCTACAGGGGGATAATTCAACAATAGTAAACAAATGGTCTGGGGATTTTTTGATTGTTTTTTAAAAACCGTTTTGGAATATTTCCGGATTTTTTTTCGTCGAAAATCCCCCTGTAGGGGGACACGCCCGACTTAATCCATTGTCTGAGACACCCCGTCCTCAGGAGCCCATGCCTATCTTTGAACCGCCGATGCAAGAGGCACAGCGCCTGGGACGACGACGCTGCCGGCGCCGCTCGCCGTGCCACCGAGGCTGCCCTCGCGAGGGCCATAGCGAGCGCGCAGCCGCCGCAGGGCCCCCCCCCCTGGGGGCAGAACGGCGAGGGGCCTCCTCCGGGAGCTCTCGTAGTGGATACTCCCTGCAGCCCTGCTGTGGCGAGGCCTCTTCCAGGCGGGGGGGACGGGTGGAGCGAGCGAGCGAGCGTGCACCTTCGGCCCAGAGGCCGTCCCATGAAGGGAGGCGCGTGGACGACGAGGAGGCGCGGGGTTGTCCCAACGGCCTGCCTGGCCCGCGGGATTGCCCCAACGATTGCGCGATGTTGCCATCCGAGAGTGCGCCCGTGCTTGCCGAGGCGGCGACGGCGTCGAGGAACATCAACAGGCGCGCGCTTGCAATTGAGAAGGGAGGAGGTAGCGGGGGGGTGGAAAAAACACAGGAGGGCGAGGAGGGGGCAACGTAGGGAGCGGGAGGAGGACCTGCGCCAGGGCGAGAAAGAGAATGATGCAGAGGAGTCAGTAAGGACGTCTCACTACTCACGAGGACTACGATGAGGGGCATTTCCAGACTAGCCGAAAGGATTCTCATGTGGAGTCCGACCGTCGGAATAATTTCCCCTATGGTTTTTGGAAAACTTTGGCGCTCCCGCCTTTTCGCCTTCCCGACTCTCCCAGACGGCACAAGAAGCCCCAAAATCGCTCCAAGACGGCCGAAAAAACTTCCAAGAAGGCCCCCAAATGGCCCAAGATGCCGCAGAACGGCCCAGGATGCCTCCCAAACGGTCCCAGGATGGCCCCAAGTGGGGTCCTAGAGGGGGAACCCGAACGGACAATTCGAGCTCTCAGCCCCAAGAGGCGCCCAGGAAGCCCCCAGAGGCCCCAAATAACCCCCAAAGAGGCCCTGAGAGGCCTTCAAGAGGCCCCAACGCCATAGGGAGTTCCACCTAGGGGCCCAGTGGGTGAATCCACATGAGGTTCCCCGCCCATTTCGGCACACCCCTCACACGCTTCGCGTCCCCTTGGAGAGCTCCGCCTGAGGCCCTAGTCTGTGCGTCTACATGCGGCTCCCCGCCCATTTCGGCACACCCCTCACACGCTTCGCGTCCCCTTGGAGAGCTCCGCCTGAGGCCCTAGTCTGTGCGTCTACATGCGGCTCCCCGCCCATTTCGGCACACCCCTCACACGCTTCGCGTCCCCTTGGAGAGCTCCGCCTGAGGCCCTAGTCTGTGCGTCTACATGCGGCTCCCCGCCCATTTCGGCGCACCCCTCACATGCTTCGTGGCCCCATGAGCTCCGCCTAGGGCCCCGGCGTGTGCGTCTACACGCGGCTCCCCGCCCCGCCCCATGAGCGCGCCCGCGAGGAAGTACCCCCCACGCAGCCCAGCCCGCGGGCCTCCTCGGGAGCCTCCCCGGTGGAGCGCCCGCGGGAATATTTGCCCCGGGAGCGTCCACGGGGAGCACTTTCTGAAAGCCCATATCGGCATATCCCCGCCCATATCGGCATATCCCTCACACGTCTTGTGGCCCCATAGAATGAACTCCACTGAAGCCCCCCAGGGGGGGGGGTCGCATGCGGTTCCCCGCCCAGATCGGCACACCCCGCCTCGCGCCCCACTCAGACTTGCATGCCGTTGGGTCCTTCGCCAAGAGGTTGCGTCTGGACAGCATGCGACACAGGGCTGAACCCAAACGGTGTTTCTCGTTTTCGTTCTGTGCTCGTTTTCCATCGTTCTGTCTTCCATTCGCCTCTACCGCAGAACGAAGTCGAAACGAAAACGGCCCATGACATCGCCCAACAAAAAAAACGGTTCAGGTCCAGCCCTGCTGCGACAGTGGGCACCGTCGAGTCCTTCTCGAGCTGCCAGGCTGGCGCCACCTAGGGTCAAGTCGGGCCTATCCCCCTACAGGGGGATTTTGGACGAACAATTTCAGAAAATACCCCCACAGTGCCCCCAAATGGCCACACAGTGCTCAAAACATCGTCCCCAGATTTTATTTTTGGCGTATTTTTGGACTCTTCCCCCCGTAGAGGGACAGGCCCGACTTACACCCATGAAGGGGCCCTGGGACACACAAATAAATACACACAAATAAAACGATTCTCATATTTTCCCATACTTTCTAGGTTTTTGTCTTCCCCGCCACTTCCCATATTTTCCAATATTTTTCCAGGAATCGCCGATTAATTGTGTCTGTGTATTTCTTTCCCTCCTGAACCCAGGGGAGCGCGAGGGGAGCCCTGCCCCGGGCGGCCCCGTGGAGGCACGCCGCCTCGTGGCGGCGCGCGCCCGCTCTCTCAGGGGGACTCGGGGAGCGGACGCGGAGAGCCCGGCCGTGGCCGGCCTGTCCGGATGCGACGCCGCCGGGATCTCGAGGGCGGGGCTGGCGGGCCTGTCCCTCTGCAGGGGGAGCATTCAAAAATAGTCAAACAAAATAGTCTGGGGATTATCGTTTTTAGTACTCTTGGGCATCTTTGGAATATTTTTGTATCTGTTATTTTTCGTCCAACATCCCCCTGTAGGGGGACAAGCCCGACCTAAACCTAAACGGTGTTTTTCGTTCTCGTTTTGCTCTCGTTTTCCCTCGTTTTGTCTCCAATCCGCCTTTCACGCAAAACGAAGTCGAAACGAAAACGGCCAACGAAATCGCCGAAACACCGTTCAGGTCCACCCCTGCTTGATCGGGCGAGCGCGTGCGCTCATCATCGAGTGCCCAGGAACAGGATCTGGACTTGACCCTGCGCCATGCAATCTTGGAGGCCCTGAAGATGGGCACCAGCACCAACGCCGGGGCTCGCCTCCACCAGGGGGAAGCCGATCCTGGATTTCGGCGTCGGTGGTAATGTTTCGGTCGCCACGGAAGCCAGAATATTACCACCATCGCCGAGATCGGAATCTTCTTCCCTATGTGGAGGCACACCGCCGATATTTGTGTTGGTGTCGACCTCTAGGCCTGCGACAGCTGTGAATCGTGCCGTAGTTCTCGAGTGCGCTGCGCGAAAGCGTCTCGACGCTCCTGCCGCGCAGCCTCTTCCGCAGCCCGCAGGGCACAGCAAGCAGTATCACTTCGGGTGCAAGATTGGGCGATCCTAGCTTTAGGTCGAGGGAAAAATAAGAATACCTAGAAGATTCAAACAATGCTCAAACATAGTCAAGACATCGTCCCCATATCATTTTTGACCATTTTGGAATATTTCTCCTGTGGAGGGACATGCCCGAGTTAATCCTAACAGCCGCTATTGCTTTCAACAGTGCTTGTGGGCGTATCAGCAGAATGTTGGGATCCCAACGGAGAGACTCGAACACCTCAATTCACATATCCGGAAGCCCACACTTACAACTCTTGGACATTTTCGAGGTACACCCGCAAATCCTTGGACATCAAATCGCACGTGGACTGTGATGAGGTGGAACGTTCTACTTTGTCGTCGCTGCCATTCGCCATGCCAAAAGAGAGGTCGACTGTTGCTTGCCCTTGCCTTTCAAACATTGCGGGCTGACTGCTCCGTTTATGTGCCATGCTGAAGGGGCCCTGGGACACACACATAAATACACGCAAATAACAGGATTCCCCATATTTTTCTATATTTTCTGTTTTTTTTTAGTCTTCCCCCCCACTTCCCATATTTTCGTATATTTTCCTGGGGATCGACGATTAATTGTGTCTGTGTGTTTTTCCCTCCTGACATGCGTCGTGCTCGTATGGGTGGAAGCCATTCGTACCACACTAGCTCGTACATGTTCACGTTGGGTGTGTCCGGCGGTGCATCGCCGGGCTAACGTCTGGGCAGCAATAACTCAAAAGGACAAGTGAGCGTTCATGCGGTATTGATCGAAATCAGATGCTGGCACACTGTTGTGTTGATTTGGTCGTCAAGCTCTGAGTGGCCGACTCGCTGGCAGGTTCAAGACTATCCGCATGCTAACCAAGGGAGGGATGCGTGGGAATTCGGACGCCGTTATGGTTTTTGTTTGTTATATTTCGCCCCCCTCTGGTCGAGATCCAGCGTGGCTGGAACACTGTTGCAGTCTTCCAGGCTGCCGGCTACCATCAAAATGGTGGCCAGCATGGAGATCGTAGCTCCCTCTTCGCATTGTGGGTCTTGCCTCGATGCCTTCGCCGATGCCACGTTCGACGCATCCGTAGGCAAAAGCTAACGGGATTGGCCGTGATGGGATCCCGAGGGAGCTGTTCCGACTACGAGAGCGGCCGCTAGCTGTCCGCACGAGTGAGATTGAAAAGGCGGTGATCTCCACCACGCGCTGGCCGAAGCAGTGGACTTGTGGTAGAATGGCGTGTCTTTTGAAAGGCAAAGGAGGCACGAAGGAGAGGGGCGAGGAGGATGGGGAGGGGGAGGACGGAGAGGGAGACGACGGGGCAGATGAGGATGATGATAAGGGTAAGGGTAAGGAGAAGGACGACGACGACTACGGCGAGGAGGGCTACGATGAGGAGGGCAAGGCGGGATCGGAAACACGAGGGAGAGGATTATCGGGGAATCCCGTTGGCGGATCCTCTGAGAAGGCCTCTGTGGACCGTCTGAAGCATGGAGCCGATCCCGTGAATGACGAGCAAATGTCCACCACCCGGTTCGGGGCCGTCCCTGAACGAGGAACATATTAGGAGTCACGCATTGTTGCCAGCGTGGTGCACCATGAGGGGAAACATGGATGCTCGGTGTGCGTCCAGTTCTGCGGGGCAACGATAGGGGGGGACTAGCATAGGGGGGAAACATCGACCTGGAATCGGGGATACATCTCCGATAGATCGGCGGTAGGCCCCTGATAGTGAATCCGCACGCTCCTGGGCAGGTCGGGGCTATCGGGCACATATCGGCGATGAATGGGCGATTGGAGGTCGATGCATCCCCCCCTATGCCTATCCCCCCCTATCGTTGCCCCTGACCAGTTCGTCGATCTCGTGATGACCTTCGGCCGCGTCATGCGAAAGCTCGTCTTCGGTGTCCGCCATGACGAACCCCGCCGGGGTGGGCCCTGCCTGGCTCCGACCACCTTGGAACATATACAGAGAACCGCGGCCCGCTGCTGGAACAGCGGGGCGTCGACCCGAATTTCAATAGACCTCCTGTGCGCACTCCATGCTAAATCGCGGCTTGAGCGTTGGCTTGTCATCGGCGGCGAGCGAGGGGGCAAGGGAGAAGGAGAAGGCCTTCTCTAGGA